AGTCCATAAAGGGTTGCCAGAAGTAACAACGTATCTTGTTTTAACTTTGATCAAATAAATCAACTTTATATTCCTTCTTCTACTTCTAACAGTCTTAATCTTTAGTTCATTCAAATATTGTCATAGGATTTGATTTCTCTTCTTTTTTGTCCCATCGCACATATTTCTTCAAGGCTTTAACAAGCCTCTTTTGTAAATCCAGTAGGAAAAAATTATCCAGATCATTCTCTTGGTTTGTCATCTGTATTTCCCTTTTAAATTTTAAAACCTCAGCCAGTTTCTTTTGTAGATCCAGTGAAACATCCTTTTCTAAGTGCTTTAACAAGCCTCTTTTGTAAATCCAGTAGGAAAAAATTGCTTTAACAAGCCTCTTTTGTAAATCCAGTAGGAAAAAATTTCCACTTTCAATACCATCTCTATCTTGTCAGATAAAATTTGTTCTACATCTGTCATTTCTTCAATAACATCTTTTGGATATAGTCTATCTGAAGAAGCAAATGTCATTACTGACATTGTTGATATCGTGGCTACTATTTTCTGATTCTATTCTTTAAAAGTCTCCTTCAGTATTTTCAACATTTTACAGGCTTGTACTTCTTTCCTCTACCTAAAAACCGTAGCCCCCTCTAGTGTCCAGTTTTTGAAATCATGAAATTGCTGATTTTTGTTTTGTCTTGTAAAAACCAAAACAAAATCTATTTCCCATAAGAAGCTGTTTGTTCTTTACAATTAATTCCAAAATCTTATTGTAAAAGTTTCAATATTCCAATTTTATCTGGACCCTTAGTCTGTTTAAATCTTATTTAGCTTTTTGCTGTTTATTTCAGATTCTTTACATTCTTAAGCTTATGATTCAAATTTTCTTTCATTCAGGATTGAAGGCACATTCACCCGGCATTTTCAAACTTGGCAGTTCGAAGGTCTCTTATAGCTTAGAAGTAGTTAATGAGCAATTTTCAAAAGCAATTAGAAAGTGAGGTTTGCAAACTTAGTGTCGTTTAAAAGTTGCTGCCACCACAATTGTGAGCAAGATGGCTGATCCCAATGTCTTCCAGTGCTGAAACCTGTGGAAAACCTTTCCTCATGAAGAACAGCCATCCACAGCACATGTGGGCAATATCCCACCCTCTCCTTATCCAGAGAGGTTCCAAGGAACCAGTCTACTCACCACTTGCTTGGTCTTTGCCACAGTCATTGGCTCTGCTTTTGCTGAGCTCTCTTCAGTTCACCATACCAACCCCGGAAGCCCATGCACCCCAATCTCCAAGCCTGGTCCTTGGGCAAGGACAGTGAGCCAACCAGAGCTCCCGGGAGGGAAAACAGTAAATAAATAAATAATGTTAAAGTGGAATATCTGAATGATGCCCACCCAGAGTCTTATTGGTGAAAAATGAAATGAAAGGCTGAGTCAAAAGATTTCCTTTTGGTGAGACAGCACAAAGAAGTGGTAACATAGTTGTGTTACACACATATACACAAATGCTGAGTAGATCCATATATGTACGCACATACTACCACATAGGCAACCAATGTATTGAACAAATGACAGACGTGGGGTAAACTCATAGCCAACAGATGGGGATGAAACTGTTAGCCTAGATTTCAGTTAAATCAGAATGTATCTTAATTAAGTATAAATTCACCCAGTATCATTTCAGCTGTAAAAGGAAAGCTGCTTAGATCTGCATAATTGGCCTTCTGGTATAACGGAACTAGTATGCAGTAAAATAACTTTACAAGAGAGGATGGCTGTGTCTGTTTTGTATTAAAGAAGCCACATTTTTTTCAGGCTTGCATCAGTCTCAGAGGGGTGCTGAGCAGAAACACATTGTCTAAATCATTTTTAAAGCGTGTAGAATCAAACTAGAGAATAATATTTGCTAACAGATACTACTGAATGGATCCTCTCATTCTTATCTTCTCTTTCTCACTGATTACCTCTGTGTTTTACTCTTCCTTTCTCACTTCTCATCTTGATTTTTCTGGTATGCTTTATGCCCATAAGTAACCCAAACTACTGAATAATACAAGGACTAATCATGGATTAATATGTTTATGAAATTTTCAGAAGCTAGCTAGACATGTTGGCTCATCACCTTGAGACATAATGAATTTTTGAAACATTCTAAATTATGTCTGGTGTTTATCCATTCTAGGTGATGAATATGATATTGAAAATCCAATTTTAGTTGCTTAAATCTAAGCATTGGTATTAAAAAACCTGGCATCTCAATTTCCTATCATTAGAAGCTTCACAACAAGGAATTCTTACAACAGAGAAACAAAAAAGTTGTTTTGTTTTCGATTTGTGAATCTGAACTCTACATCATGTTTGAATCTAGTGTTCAATAATAAAAAGTAAAAACTACTCAGATGGAAAATATAAAAAATAATGTGTTATTTTTGCTCATTAAGCAGTTGTCATGTCAAACTGATGACATTTGACCTCCAAAATGAGACATTTGGCCCAGCCCAGAGGAAATCTGAAGGCTTCCTAGCTCTTCAAGACCAGTTGAATATGCTGAAGTAGAACAGTTGCTATTGCCATCCTCAGGGTCATATGATAGCTTCTTCTTTTTAGATTGCTGATCCCATGTATTTATTTAAATATGTATGTTATTTGCATGATTTCATTTAGTCTAATGGGACTTTTTTAAAAACTGTCTTGCAGGATTCAACGAGATGTAACTATTTTTTAAAATAACAACTATGTGAAATCATCAGCCATTCTGACATAATCTTTAGGGACCCTTCATGACTCCCGAATTTTGCATAGTGTTTCAGCCTAACTGCAACAATAACATAGAAACAAAAATTTGAAATCCTACAATAATCTGAGTTGCAAGAACAGTGAATTGCATTTTTCAGACCACAGCCAGACTACCCAAGATATATAGATGTTTAATCTGCAAAGTAGAAATATTTCCCCCAAGATGTACAGTTTTGATTTATTTAAATCTCTGAATCACACTAGGTTAATTTTGTATTGGTGAGTTAGGAAAAAATAGTCTGAATTTTTTTTTTCTCAGTGTCAGTAACTGTGCCTGTTCATAGAGCAGATGTTTGCCAGCAACATCATTATTCATTCAAGATGTTTGAATAGCAAGAACTTCTTGTCTCCTACATTAGGAATTATTTTTATAGAGTCCATTTTATTCGTACATTTTACTCCTAAGAAACTCCCAACAGGCCTTATAAATTGGCCACATTAGAGCCTTGCCAGATAGTGCTTAACTCAAGTGAGTGCTTGTTTATTTTAGAGAAATATTAAAACATCAAAATAGTAATATTAAAAATATTAATATGTAGAGTTAAGCTTAAACATCTGCCCTTGGGGACAAGTGCAGACCATGGTTAAGTT